TCTGAACTGCTGGACATCTTGCGAACCTGAGAAATGAAAAAGGCAAAATCGTCCAAGGGGGGCGGTGACTAGTAATAAGGGGCGTAAATAGTAATGTATATTGCCCTCTCTTAAATTTGTCCACCAGCATATTTTGTGGTGCTAAAAAAAAAAAAACACGTAGACAGTGTTTGGAAATTGAACCTGGCAATGGCTTTTGCAAATCCTTGTCGTTTATTTGAACTTCAAAATCAAAATGGACACGGACTTTGCAGAGCCTGCAAAAATATATGTTGAAGGGTCCACATAACTAGTGATTTTGGTGCAGAACAATTGCAGATAAAATTGTTGAAGATAAATTGTTTTTATTATGTGATTTTTTTTATATCAATTGTTATTTTATATGATAAAATTGTTGAAGACAAATATTGTGTGATTTTTTATATCAATTATTATTTTAAAGATTATGTATAAGTAGCATTTTTTTTTTTAATAAAAACTTAATCTACATTAATTGCATCTGCACATCAAATTTTCTAATTTGCGCTTGTTGTGGTCCTAAATACTTAGTAAATATTGAAGCTATTTTCTTTATAGTTGCCAACTTTCATTTATTGAATTCCGGAATTGTGGTTTATTACGATGAAGCTTTAATTTTGCTTTTAATGTGATTGTAACTCGTCAAAGTCGGACTACTTTTCACCAACCACGAGCATGCATGTTTTAATTAACATCTCCTTAATTAAGGTCTCGAGTTCGATTCCTTGTGGATGCAGAAAACCCTTGTTGGGAGACTCACCCACCACTGCCAGGTGTGCGACCCAAATCGACCAACGGATTAGTCGAGGCATAGCTCCAGATACCGTGGCTGGCTACCAAAAAAAAAAATATCCTAATCTTTCAATTATATGTCAAGAGCACGAATTAACACTTTGAGCCCTTTCTATCTATCTATCGTATCTAACAACAATTGGATATGGTAAAACAACTTCAAATTTCTCAGTTGTACTAGCATCAAACAACGAAGAAAGTGTTACTAAATACTCAAACAAAGGTACCATAATCATGAAAAGTGATACAATGGTCATTATCACATTTCCTTTTTGTTTTAGGGTGAATAACACGAAAAAATAACGCAAATTTGGTATAGATGAACAACAAAAAAGAGATTATGACCACCTTAATTGTTTTAGGGTGAATATAAACAACAATATTCAAAGTTGAATCCTTAACAAATTAACCAAAATATTATGATTTAAAGACGATTTTTGGACTCCACATTACTTATATAATACAATACATACTTTACAAACACATAATCATGAAGTTCACATTTGTAGCTTCACAAGTACTCATCACTCGTACAATAACTGCAATTCACAAAATATTTTTTAAGAAACATTTACTTCTCAATGGCTATCTCGAAAATCACCCAACACAAATCTAGTCGTAAATGTTCGCTTAATACAAACGAGAAACGAGTACGCATCACATGCAACGACAACATTAGTATCAATTTCTTCATAAGACGGAAAAAAAAAAGAAAGAACCTCGTAACTCACAAAGTGTAGATTCCAACGTAAGGCACCAATACCGAACCAATCCATAGCTTCCCATCTTTTTCCTCCACCTCGCTAACGAACCTCAAAGTCTTCCCGTCAATATCCTCCAAAACTCGTAAAATTTCACCTTCACTGCTTAACTTAACCACAGTCGCGTGAGGCTTCCCTCCCACCAATAAGTAATGCAGCTGCTTAAAATCGAAAGGCAGCCTCAAAATCATTTTCCCGGCCCACGACCAAGAAGTGGCCCATTTCGAGAAAAGTCCCACCTTTGAGTGCAGGGCAACCCAAAAGTCACCAACCGGGCTTCGTCTTATGTTGTCTGGAAAGCCCGGGAGCACGGCAAAGGTTTCGTGTTTACCTGCATTCGGGCCCTTGAGCCAAAATCTGAGTATTTTACGAGTGGTTGTTTCAGCAACTAGCAAAAATGAACGGTCTTTGCTTAGGGCAACTCCATTTGCAAAAGCAATGCCTTTTAACAAAAGTGTGACCCGTTTGGTTGATATATCGTACTTCATTAGCTTGCCCGTCTTGTCTATGCTTAGAACCGACGGCATGAATTCCCTTGTGTGTGGATAAATGGGTAGAGAGTCAATGAGATTGCTCGAATTCATTTAATTATATATTGAGCATGCAGGCAATATATAGGCGTGATTGGATACAGATTTGATTAGGGATTTTCAATCATTTTTAACTCAATCAACTTCTTTAATTCATGCCACTATTTTCAATATTATCAATATAATTAAACAATATCAATCAATCATCCTTACACATCACAACAACTTTAATTTACTACTACCACTCACATAATTTTAACTACCCATCACTTCTAACCACATTTCTCCTACTTGTAAATCAAATCAATTTTAACCATTTTATTTTAAATATTATTTCAATACAAACTCAAATTCCACTAAATTCAATCCCTAACGACTTTTTCAAAATTAACTATGGTTAACCAAAAAAAATCAATCAAAACAAAATCAAACCAATATCCAATCACACCCTATGTAATTAAGAATTGTACCTTCTGTAAAATTCTGTGCTGGTATCCGTGAAGTAAACGGCATTTTCGTGTTCATCAATGTCCAAATCGTTCGTGAAACGCAAACGCTGGCCGTCGACCTCGGTTACAAGTGGCGAGGCCATTCCTCCCGTGGGCCCAACAACTTGTAGGCCCAAATACGCATCGGCAATGTAAAGCTGCCCGGTTTTGTTACAGAAACGTATGCCCAACGGACGTCCGCATACGTGCTCCGTTGATGGATTGAACGGTTGAGTACACGACTCCCTTTTTACAAAAGCATCATAAATCTTTACTTTTGTCGAATGAAAATTCGATACAAACTTGTAAGAGCATATGCTCAACAAGCAATGTCAATTGGGCCGAACGAGCTGAGCAAGCCAAGCTCGAGCCTTTAACAAGCCAATCGTTAAATAAATGAACCCTTAATCGACCTTGAGTTCAGCTCGTTTAGCAATATTAATGAGTCAAGCTCAAGCCTTAAGAAGCCGAACTATAGAAAATTATATAAAAAATCTTATTTTGGAGCCTTAACAAGCCGAGTGGAGTCTGGCTCAAACATTAAAGGAGCTTTCAACGAGCTCCACTCTTTTATCACCAACTCACGAGCGGATCATTTTGTTTAACGATGCTGAAAATGGAATTAAATTCAAAATCTAACCATGAGGTTTAGCTCAATTATAGAAAATAGCCCTTCATCTGTGTTTCTGATGCGAATTAGCCCCACAAATTTTTGCGTAATTACTAACCCACTGTTGATATTCAATAGGAAAGTGACAAAATTACAAATACAGCTGAGAATTTTCCTATTTAGCAAATCATTCAAACTTCAGGGGTACTATGAGAAATTAAGAAGTGAATAGCTAATACAGAGTAAAAGGGTGGGTTTTGACTAACCGTTGGGATGAGGTGAAGGCAAACTCCGCCCAAGCGCCGCCG